ACACACACACACACACACACACCATGAGGTAAACAATCAAAAGTGCACCAACAAAAACACTGTCCTGCTTACTACACCAAACATGAACCGGAGTAATGCACCGGCTTCATTGCTGCATAACATCCAGGCCCCAGCAGACTAGAGAGTGTCTGGATGAGTTAATATTTTGTTTGGCAGCTACAGGAACTCAGTGCTTGGTCAGTCAGCTGAGACCTCCCCTTTCAGAAAGCCCCTCACATTCCCTGACACTGTGTGAGTGTGTGTTTCTGATATGCTGCACTCCGACGTCTCTCTGTGACCTTTGATTAAAGGTGATGCCTCTCTGAATTCCTGCCGCAGGCCTCGGCTACAGCGGGGGAAACCTTCACCCGGGACTAGATTTGTCAACTTCCTTCACCAAACATGAGGTCATTGTTTTGACAGGGGTGAATGAAACACAGACAAAGGAGTCATAAATGCCTGCGTGTCCGAGCAGAGGCCTTGATGCGTCTGGAGCGATGGGAGCTAATGAAACGTCCTGCACACTGGGCCGCTTCTTCTCGGGCCGGGGCCATGTTGCAGAGTGAGGGGCTGTAGCTGACAGCACAGCAGTCTCTCTCAGTCTTCTGAACTAAACAAACCCAATAAAACTCCCTCCCCTTCTCTCTCTGCCTCCCTCCCACACATGCACAAACACACACAACCTCAAAGTAGCCTGACTCACAATGACTGCAGCAACAGATGGCTGTCAACTCACCCCCTCCACCTTCCCAGTCCCCTGCACCACATCCTCTGGCCCAGCTGTCACTTGGGGCCCCCCTTGCTGAGGGGGTTCTGACGCCAACCTCCCCCTGAACTGGGGACAGCTGCTGCGGGAAGCCAGTGCAGGGGGGCAAAAGCTTGCGCTGCACACTACAAACCTCTCTCTGTCTCCATAATTCCTCTTCCTGTTCATACTATCGCTGCCTCATCCCTCCCATTAGACTTATCCAGTTTCACTAACACAACCTCCTTCTCGTTCTCTCTTTCCTCTCTACTCACCATCGCTCATCCTCCACCTGAATTCCTATCGACTGGAATTTAGACTGCTCCTCTGAGGGCCCCTCCTCCTCTGGGTCCACCTACGAGAACAAGGGCAACTGTCAAAAAAAAAGACTTTTATTTTGAAAGTTCAAATGGGCAAATCCACAAACCTGGATCCCTATGGAGAGGCACTTGCGGAGCGCTTCCCTCTGAGCCTTGCTGTCTGCGGAGACGTGTGCTACGGCGGAGGTGGTGGCAGTGGCGGTGATGGTGATGGTGCTGTTGGTGACGTGCTGGCTGGCGGGGCCGTGCACCTGAGCGTTAGCCGCCTCTATGGCGGCCGTCAGGGCCTTCATGCTGTCGATGCTCTCCGTTGAATTGGACAGGCCCGGCTGGGAGCTGATGCCCGTCCGCGTGCCGGAGCCCCCGTCCATGTAAGCATCCTGGGCAGACTCTGTGCTGCTTTGGGCCGTGATGGATATGAAGGGTTTGGACGGGGTGGTGCGTGGAGGGACCGGGGGAGGCGTCTTCTTGTAGGTGGTGATGCATGATGACACTGCAGGAGAAAGACAGACAACAGATTATTACACAACAAAATATATAATTTAAAAATCTCAATCTGTTAAATTAACAGATCAATTCACAGGTTTCACATGAAGCTGAATTCACACATCACATGAGGCCAGAGAAAAACAGTTATATGAGGTATTTTGAAACGCAGACGATAGAAGTGTTATCTTGCCTTCAGCTTCAGATTTGAATTTTTTAACAAAAATACTACATTGAACTGAATCTTTTAAAGTTTGAAAGAAGCGGGAAAAGTTGGTATTTAGAAGAGGGGATGATTTGAAAGAAAGGTACAGGTGAGGTGCTTTATGGGAGATGTAGGATTCAGTGTTTTTAGATACTATAGCATAAATGTGAAGATACTTCGTTCCCAAACTTTTTTTGACAAATTCATGAAAGGTCAGTACAGCAGTACATTTTTTCTATGGTGCACAACATGCTTCCAACAGTGGAAACATATGCTGTCGCTAAATGTGATGACTGTCACCAAATGGCTGTTGACAGCTAACACCCTGACAGCTCTCACACACACACACACACACACACACACACACACACACACACACACACACAAAATGGACAGTAGATTAGGGCCAACATTAACAAATCAGAGCTTCATCTAGTAATAGGATTAGTATGCCGGCCACTTGACCCACTGATCTAGATGGTTAAGCCCTCGACGCAGTAACTGTACACTCAAAACGATTTGATGGTGCAGAATATAAATATATCCTCGCTGTTTGCATGAATAGCTGCAAGTGAAATTATATTACAAGTAAAATGATGTTGTAAAAGGCAGCTGGAGGGATCAGCCCAGTTTAAAGGCTTTAAAGTTTTAAATCCTAGCAAATAGATATTTTAGAAATCATGTGCTGCTCAGTAATACTCTCCTCTTTCTGCCTGTGTTCTCTCTCAGGTTACAGCTGCAGGTTCTGCACAGACAATGGAGCCTCTCACACAAACTGACTCAGAGGTCTGGACGTCTGTATAGCAACATGCCGACTAAACGCAGCCTGTCTAAAGAAAGGCGCTATCGGCCACCTCCTAACTACATTATGCCTCGGAATCTCCTTCCTCGCCTGGCCACTATCTCCAAAACTAGGTCGCCCTCTCTCTGTGCTGTGCGACAAAAACTAGGACAGCAGGTTTCCTGGATCTCGTTAATCCCTCCAAAAGACAAACATCCTACCGCGGTGTGTGCATGCAGACAACTGTTGCTAACCACACCCAGCAGGAGCAGCCATGTCTAAAACTATTAGCTGTCGTTGGCTTTCAGTCTCACTGACAGCTAGAGGGGCCCTATAGTGTCGGGAGGCGAACAGAGGGCTGACTTCATCCTCTTGAGTTTGTCAGAGTCATCCGCCGCCCTCCTCCGACCGGCCTCCCACCCTGCTCCTGCCTCGCCGTCACTGATAGGATGATCCCAGGTGAGATTCGAGTCAGGTTTTGACAAGCTGGAAAGTCCTCAGACGAGATGAGATCACAGTTGCTAATGTGAATTTCTTTGATGGTTGCAGAACAAACCACAAGAGAGACAAAATCAACGCCTTGCTGCGTTTCCTCCTACAGCTAAATGTTACGTGTCTTTCTTTTTGAGAGATTATGTATATGCAGGAATTACTGCCAAACACATCTGAGCATGCATCGTCTCGACCTCTCACAGGTGTCAGGTGAAGATGAGCGACATCCAGGGTTTCTCTTCAGAGAGGTCGACAAGTACAGACCCACAGGAGAACAAAAAACACACAGCGAACACACACATGCACTCGCACAGAGGGAGAGGCCGAGGTCCTGCCCCTATCAGTCGTGGAGGTTCAGAGGATAGAATGTCAGGCCCTTTTAGAGCTTCTATCCCCTGAAGTCATCTAAAAGTCAGTGTGTGTGAGCGTGCATGTGTGTGTGTGAGACTGTTGAACGCATACATCTGTGGGTGTGTGCGTGCTCCTCTTCATCAGCTCAATAAAGAGCTGCATGAAACAGGAGACGACGCGCCGTGTCCCACCTCGCTGCCACCGCGAGAGCCAGACACGTTGAGAATGACAGGGGCTTTGAATGCCGAGACAGGTTAAGTAAACACGCTCGGGAGCCAGAACATGCCCACGGACACACACACACACAAGCATGCACACATGAGCCTGCAGAGACACAAAAATAACGCTGACACAAACCAGCTCAACGTTTCAACCTCTCCACATCAAGGGAGACCACAGACTTCCTGCCACTGATATACGCTCCATCCATCAGGAGCCATTTTCAACAATGACCTTACCCAGGCCAGTGAAAGAGTGTGTGAGCATGTAACCAGACGTTTAGCAAAATAAATGCAAAATAAAGGAAATAAGTGATTCTTTTTTATTTTTGTTCGTCTGTCTACAGCGAAAAGGCGAAAACATCTGACTAAGAAACAACTGTCCTGATAAGAGAGAGAGGCCAAGTTTCCACTTTCCACAGCAACGATAAGAAAATAGTTTGATCCTCTTGCAGCCATGAAAGCATCAGACAACAGCACGGGCCCAGACCTCCCACACACACACAGACAGTCAAGGACAGAGTGAAGTAAGAATGTGACGCAGGATTCCACCAGACCCTTGAGAAGGAATGTGGAAAACTCTCTTCACCAGACACTGATAAACAGCAGTGACCCCACAGAAATGTTCCCCTGTCACTGTAATATCAGGTTAACGCAGCTTTGATCACAGAGAGAGAGAGAGAGAGAGAGAGAGAGAGAGAGACGTCATTCATGTTCTCTTGTGTGTGCAACAAAAACTGGGAACAACTTCCTCACTTAATGGGAACGTCTTTGTGGAATTTTCTTTCTCCACACAGAGGTGGGTGCAGCCTGCAGCGAGCATTGTCATCCTGAGGAGGAGAAGAGTTTGTGAATGACAAAACTCTAGTGGCTCTCTGCCAAATCCCTCTTTTGACAAATGCTTCAAACGTCCCACGCCGACAAGTTGGTGTGAATAGCAGCTCTTCTTGGCAGAGCTCACCCCCCCCCCACACACACACACACCCTCTACCCCTGGGCCTGATAATATCAAAGAAAGCCCTCGTCCCTCCCCTGAGACAAAGCAAAGTCTCCATTCATTTCGCCAGCTTTCGGAACAAAAACAGACTTGTTGAGCCTCCTATTTTTGGGCTCGGCTGATCACTGTTTCCCATTTGTGCCTCGGCATAGGTGTACGCCGTTTCCTTTATTTAATCATCGTGCTCATGCTGCTGGACAGATTGAAGGCAGGCGGCTGCCTTGTAATCTCCAATCTGTGTGATAGGCCACTTCAAAGAGCAGACGGTTTGGTTTAGGAGGAGAGCTAACGGGAACGGGCTCCCCCGCGCGGGGGCCAAGGGCAAATCCACCACCATCCAAACAAATACAAAAGCCAGGAAAGGGGGCGGTCGGTATGGGGGAACATTGACAGCTGAGCCCAGCTGCACTGTGTTTGGGATGAGGGTCTGCCAGAGGGGAGAGGGCAGAGCAAAGCGAACAGAAGACGAAGAAGAGCGGAACAAGACTGAGACGGAGGAGGAGGAGGGACGAGGGTAAATCAGAGTAACTGCCCGGCTCCGTCTGCTCCATCCCTGTCCATTTGTCCGTCCCGCTCCCTCTCTCACTTTATCATACACACACGCACTCGCACAGAGAACCAGCTGGAGTCCTTTGTGACTGCATCACCATGGTGACACATAGCAACATGAAGTTTGCTGGGAGGCTTGGAGTTTTACCAGCAGCAAGCAGGGGGGGAGCTTCTGTCGACCATTTGTTTACCTTGACAGGGTAAACTGCAGCTGCACTGACACCCACCTCACCACCAGCCAACGAGAACACACAGCAGGAAGAATGGGCCACAGAACCTGGAGCTCTAATATAAACACCAGGTTATCTGCATAGAGAGAACAAGGGAGCTGCAAATGACTTTTTAAATAATGTTTCTTGCCCTGAAGCTTCAGCTCTGTACAGTGTTGAACTCTACAAACCTGTTTGTCTTGGATCCCTGTCAAAAGGCTTGTCACTTAGTGTCTGCAGAGACAGGGTCACGAGATGAGAATAACCTGAAGGATTTAAACTGGGTGACGTTATGTTGCCCTTGTGAACAACATTGCAAGACACATCCACAACACGGCCTCCAGTCGGACACTTTAAATTACTGTCAGGATGATTTTCTTTAATTCCAAAAAGTTTTGTGCTTAAATAACTGAAGGGATCATATAACAATGAGCTAATGTTGCAGAGACGAAACAAACCCTGCACACACCACATACAATAGTGCTTTACAAATCCTCTGAGTCACCTGAAAGTCTCACAGAGACCCTCATGTTCAGTGGACGACTCTCAGCCAGGAGAGGTCAGAGGTCACCAGAGAGGGTTTCTGCTCTCCAGATGCCTGAACTCTCTCAGACACAATAGCTCACTGTGTGTGTGTATGTGAAGGTGGCTGTCTACAGGGCTTTTTAAAGAAGTATATTTAGCACGTGCGAGTGGGTTCTGGTGAGAAAGTTTTCTGCACAAACAGAACCCGAGTCGTAAACATCCTGCACCAACTCCTGCATCTAAATGGATTTTTTTGTCTTGACTTAAACATGAGGATGCATATCAGCACCAAACATTTGTTAAATGTGCCTCCGGTGTCCTCGGGCCAGCAGTGCTATCACCGCAACTGTGTGCTCAGTGTGCCCCTTTTGACAGAAACCCGTGTCAACAGTGGGTAACTGCTCTGGCAGCCTGCGTCTCCTGAATCACTAGATAAGAGCGTGTTTACAACTGTCAGCCGCCGCTAAATCTGGCAGGCAGCTGCTCCCTGTTAGGCAACAGACTCACTTCTCTTAACCCACTTTCCTGTGTTCCAAGTTCAAATAGAGAGCCTGGTTACCTGCATTCCTCTTTTATTGCCCCACGCTCTCTGCGAACTGTCAATCAGTGACAGGCAGCGAGGAGACATGCTGAGAGTTAAAAACGCCAAGGGGGCGGGGAGATACAAAATCGAAAGTTCA